AGATAATGTATTCGGTTACATTTTCTAATTGTTTGAGATTGAGGCGTAGTTGTTCTAACAAGCTGCACTTTATGTTGCTGCATAGATCAGATTGTTCTCTAAGTGATTTTCTCTTCTTCTGTTTTAGCAGAGGTTACATTATTAATAGAATTGGTTGGGAACTTGCGAAAGTTTTTAATAAACAGTTAGATACATTTGGATATCAGATAGCAGTTGGTATGTTCAAAGAACGATTTTTTATCAAATAATGGCAATGAGTAATGTATTTTGGATATTTTTGTATGACCAACCTGTTTTAAAGTAATTGCACTAAAATTCAAGATTTTGTGTGTGTATATAGTAATGACAGACCAGGTAACAATGAATTTTGGAGGTGATTTCGTGCATTTTCAACGCGTTTATATAATAGGTGTTCTCGTCAGCAAAGCAAAAATGTCTTGGCATCAAGTGGAGTTTTCTTATGAATTCTTTTGTATTCTTTACTCTCTTTTTTTCTGTTCATCTTTACATTTATTGACCCCCAAAGTTTCTGAATCTGTTATTTCTTAAATTTGTAGTAGTAGAAATTACCAACATTTAACAGAAAGTAAATTACTTTATTATAAAGAGAGTTATATTCTTGATCCATGAGTTCTTTCTGTTGGTCATTTCAGGAATATCAGAAGACAGTAACCTTAGCTTTTTTCAAAAAAAAAAATTATTACTCATTTAGACAGAGACATCAACCAATTAACTAGTGCTAGTTGTATATTTGTCAAATGAGTATCAATCAATTTTCCTTTAGAAAAAGCTCTAGCTTGTTATTTCCAAAATTGAATTCTTACATGGAAGTTGAGATGATGAATGAAACAACATATTCAAAATTGGTTGCACTATTGATGACATATTTACATAAAATTTCATGGAAACAAGTAACAGTTGCTTTCTATAGTAAATTTATTTAGACAATAAATGATATAATTGTACTTCGATTATTTTGTACCCTCCCCTTACATTCAACAGTCACTACCCTGACAACCAAACAGCAAAATTGACTCAAATAGCATATGCATATAGCTCCTGGTTGCTTGAGTTCTAAAGTGAAGCTCAACCAAATAGAGCTCACTCTTGGATCGTATCGTTTTTCAACTGTATGTTAGTAATCTGGTTAGTATTACTATATTCATTGTACAGCATTATGAAAGAAAAAATGCTAATACAGACTTGTAAATTTAGTTTTTGTACATATTTAGTAAATTTCCTAATACATATATACCGTGTTTATGTAAAACTTACAGAGTTAAAAAGTTCTATCAAAACTATATCTAAAGCCTATGTCCGCACTCCGTCCATGTTTGGAAGCGGTAGCTACCTCAAAATTTGCATTCTCGTGAAAGATATATTTTCATACTAATCGAAATGTATAAAGTGAGAATTTTGATACAAGAAAGGTGGGTTTGGTACGAAGGAAAATGTTTTTCTAGAAGAAAAAAAATTCAAAAAACAAGTAGATTTCTTACTTATTTTCTAATGTTTGGTATATAAATAAAAAATATTTATATGTAATCTAGCAAAACATTATCGAGGTGAGATGAGAGGGTGGGGTTCAAGGGTGACGGGGATGGGATGGTCAAGGGTGGGAGTGGGGGTTGTCGGGTGAGTAGGGAAAAGACAATAAACATGGATCGTCACTAGTACTTGTGGAGCTTGTATTTCCAACTGTGATTAATATAATGAAGTCATTGTATTTTCCTATTTTTAAGGAAATTTGTGAAACCAACTTTCACAAATCCAGACTTCATCAACCTGCGCTCAAGTTAATACTACAGAAGTCATCTATAATTTAAATTTAATGAGTTCGAGCTTCAAAATCATTATTAGTCCTAAATTCATTGTACTGTTAAAGTTTATAGGTTCAGATTTAATATCTGTTTGAAACTTTTGTTTTTCACATATATATTTAAATTTTGTTTCTTTGCAATTTTTCGTTAATTGCTGGTTTTCGTTACATAAAATTAGAAACAATAACATAGATTTAGCTGTTATATATATACAAGAAATCAACTATGAAAATTGACATGATACCCTCCCTTATAAAAGTAAAATTACAATGTGTCCAACTTTACTCTTCTCATAAAAATCGGACAAATATCAATATCTATACCAGAAACTATTTTACGTAAGTGTATGTGTTACGATGCAACTGAGTTCAAAAATTTATAAGCATATCATATGACAAAGATGCACACGTATACGCTAGCTGTAACATCCTTAAAGATTTTTTTTTTTTTTGGGCCAGATAATATAGCTAACGGACTTGGAGTATTCTTATGAAATTAAGTGTGTGAATATATACCACCTACAAATTATTGTCACTATTTATTTATTTATTGTTTGATGAAACTCAATAAAATTTGTATCTGTTAAATAAAGAAAAGAGAAGAACTCTTTTAAAGATAACAAAGAAGTTTTTCGTTTCAGTTATTTTTCGACAAGTTGCAACCAAAACTGCTAATATGAGGAGACTTTTATTGGTAGGCTTTCAATACTTTTACGTAAAAACAATGAAGTTAATTAACTTTATTTTTTAAATAATTATGATGTTCGAATTAATTTAACTCATGAGCACTAATTAAGTTAACGGAGATACAACTAATCAGCAATACCATATAATTGGTTGCAGTTTTGATAATTCATGATCCAGCATATCAAAAATAAAAAACAAAATATTTTTAATTTACGATTTTTAAAAACCTTTCATTACCAGTAAAATCAGCTAACAAAGATTAGGAGAATTTGGACTCATATATAGTTGTTGAAAACCCCTACAGTAGTACTAAAGCTCTTCCTATTTTGCATTTGCATCATACTCTAGTATTACATATCCATCAAATTAAAGTTCAACTTACTCCACCATCCCCCGGAAAGAGCGTAATGGATGATGTGTGGGTTAGGAACAATCACGAGTTTGAACCCTACTCGAGACAAAAGTCTGAGAGTTAGGAACAATCAAGAGTTTGAACCCTCGAGACAAAAGTCTGATATTTAAGTGGAGAAGGATAGAGAGTCAGACCTATATATACATTTAATTTTTAATTTGTTTTAAAAAAATTACTCCACCCTATTTTGCCAATTCAACATTAATTTACTTGACTTGATCGAAGTTTGGGTAAGATATATACGTAATAGAAACTTTCTTAGTAAATTAATACTACTACGGTTAATGTTTATATATTGTTGCCTCGTTGATCATGTTTTTGATTCTGTCACTATTATAATTCTTATGTTTGTAATCCTCAGATTAACACCACCACAGCTGGGGAAATAGTTGTATTAATGGAACTACAACAATTATACAAAATCAATTAGTACTTTGAACGAGAAAAGATTACAACTAGAGAAGAAGTAACCTTTGTAAAGAATCTAACATATTCAGGGTGTGATTGATACGAAGGAAAAAGAATTTTAAGAAAAATATGTGTTAATTTTTTTTGTGTTCGGTACGCAAGTAAAATATAGAATATATTATCTTAAAATATTTGTATTCAATTTAGATAAATATGATGGGACTTTGTGGGGTGGTGAATCATGAGGTTGCAGACGCGAAGTCAGAATTTTCAATAAGGGGATTCAAAATCTGTAGAAATAGATAGTGGAAGGGGATTCGACATCTACAATATATACATATAAACTTAATTTAACCATATATAAATAATATAATTTTCCGCTGAAGGGGGTTCAGATGAACCCCTTTCATACAAGGTAGCTCTGCCCCTGTGAGGTCATGTGTTGGAGGGGTGGGGAGAACGCACAAATGTAGAAGTCACTTAGAGCTGTCAATATGGGCTTGCTCACCCCATCCGGGCAAACCTATACAAACCTTGACATTTAACGAGTCAGGCCAAGCTAGCCCATTTTTTGTATGGGCCAGAAAATAGTCGATCCAACCCACAAGTACGTGGACTACAATCTTGCCAGGCAGCTCACTTTTTTTTAAAAAATATAGTTTTTTATAATTATTAAATTAAATTATAAATTATAATTTAAAAATATTATCATAAATATCGACAAAACAATATTACAGATGATAATGTTACTACTTGTTAATCAAATCCACTAATAAAATTATCTTTATAATATTTATTAAGCTTTTTTTAAAGTAAAAGTATAAATATCTTACAGAAATATTAACCTAATTATTTTGAGTTTGGACTCTCTTTAATTATTTTAAAATTTTAATATTATATTATATTTTTCAATTAATTTTTATTAACTCATAGACCGATCCTACCGATATTTCTCAAGCCCCGTAAATCAGCAGACTTATTCAGGCCGGACAAAAAAAACTTTTTTCTGAAATGGACTCCAAAAAACTTAGTACAACCCTATTAAATCTCATATTAGACTAAGCCGACCCAACGAACCTACTCCATATTGATGGCTCCAATGTGACTTGTGGAACTTGCTTTCCCTACTTCCAGTAAGAAAATTATTGTCCTCATTTTTTATGAAACTTATTTCCCTTAGAAAAATATTTTCCAAAAATAGTGACCAACAAACACGTCTTCAATTTCATTGTGCTGTTACTTGAAAACAAATAAGAAAAGATTCTGTAAATAGCTATATTTGTGCCTAGATTTAAAGAAAATATAGCGAGCTTTTCCTTAATTACAACATGTACTGAACGTAATAGTATTTTGGTTTTATAATGTGGTGGAATTTACTATAACTCTGTGTATAATAATACATTGTACCTGCATGCATAATATAAAATAAATTGCATTCTTTTGCATAACAAGTGTATTTATGCGTATACCATATCTATGTAGTGGGAATACATTGTATTCACATATGTAACCAAAAGACTTTGTATCTACACACTTAATAAATGTAACCGCGCGAATACAATATTTCTGTTTAATTATATCTCCAACAAAACCACGAACGGTCGCTATATATTATTATGCATAGGGCCTTGCTACTCCATTAGTTACCTACTTGAAAATGACATTACTTGGGTTGTAAGCCCAATTTTGGCCCAAATATGACAACCCTTTCACAAGAAGAAACAACAAGCCCAAATATCTCATAAGAGTGAGGTCTAAAACTTTTACTTATTTGGCCATACCAGAGTCTACAATTTGAATGACAACTTTGATTTTTTTTACATATTTGATGAACCAAAAAAAGGGAAATGAAAGACTATAATTGTACATCAGAACTTGAACAAGATAATTCTCTCTCTTTTTTTTTTCTCTTCTGAATGAATTTGACTTCTGATAACAACTTCTAAAGCCAGAATTACATATGTTTAAATGTGATGTTAGTTATTGTCCTGTCACATAACATCTCAGAATTTTCCATTACCAATAATCCACAACCAATCTAAAGCAACACCAGAACATATTCCACATAATATGAATACCACTAGCAAATTACCCAATGCATTTTGCTCAGGACCCTACAAAATTCAAATTCCAATCTTAAAATATGATGTGATTATAAAATGATCATATGGATTCTAAAAATTATAACTTTACCAACCTTGTATCCTTTAGGTGCAGCTGTCATGACACAAACTGTGAGATGACCATTTGTGAGTCCCAAGAAGGATACCAGAAATATCATCCAGCCTTGATCACCATATTTTGCAGTGAAGTAGAAGCAAGGGACCAGTAAGAAACGTGAGAGGGTCGCGATCATGAGGCCCTTTGGTGATTTCAACTTGATTTTATCAATCAGTGGAACATATCTCCCTATCAGATCCCAAACATTGTACATTGCTATCAAAACTAGAGCATACCTGACAGTTTGAAAAAGAAATTCAAGAGGGACTGCAGATAACGTTATAGCAATAACGATTTATTCAGAGAAAAGGTATGCACACTTACCATGATCCCAATTTGTGGGTACCAGTGTTTTCATACAAGAACCCGGGGAAAATTGATAAAGTAGCGACATAAATCAAGTACAGGTCCAACTCATAGTCAATATTCTGGAAAAGTAGTTGTTTGGTGCTTAGACGTTCCGATTGTTTTGCATCACTATTAGTCTGTTCAGTAAACAGAAACATATCAAGTTTATGATTATGAAAATCACTTATAACACAGTTCACATAGACCTACTTTTTCGATTGATTGAGTTTTGATGCCTGCAGCAGCTAAGTCTGCTGCAACAGTTGTTGATCCTTCTACAGCTGCCTTTGTGCGGTAATGCTTCACAATTGGTAGCTTAGGGAATATGAATGCATATAGAAGGATGCATAGGAATTCAAAGAATACGGAGATGGCAAGGTACAACACTGCAAAATCAATAACTCTATAAGTTTCTCGCAACATAATATATCAAAGACGCATCAAGCATACTATTTTGAGGTCAGAATTACTTACTAACTCCTTTGCGAAGGCCATTGTTACTGTTTTCAAAAGCTGCTTTGGTTATTAGCCTTAAACCAGAGGTAAGTGCACCAGATGCAGCAAGACCAGCGAAAAACGACTGCATAATTCATGAATCGGTATACAAACATAATTCAAGATTTCATGTATCAATTGAGGCAGAACAAAGTTACTCGTGTTACCACCACCCACTTGAATGAACTCCGGGCACATGAATGATAAATCTCCGGTCATTCCACCTTGAACAACAGCATCCCCAATTCCAAAACAACCTACGATGGCGCATACACCAATGTAATTTCCTATTCCACCCCTAACAGAAGTTGCCAAATCCAACTGGAAAAAAAAATAAAAACAGATTCTGAAAAGGCGAACAATTTATCAATCAGAAAATGAAAAAAATCAGAACATACCAGTATGAGCGTAAATGTGCTTAAGGTATACAGGATATACCCTGCTAAGATGCGTTTTCTTGTATCAACTTTTGCCTCGTTATATGCAAGAATCACTATTGTTCCAAGTGCAAATGGCTGATACACTAAGGTGAGTACCCTTGAAGGATGATAATTCTTCAATTTTCATATTAAAACAAATGAGTCAAGATATATAATTCACTCACAAGTCACAACTACGCCTCAATCCCAAATATAACGTGAAAAAACATAAATATTACAAATGGAGACTTACGGGAAACAGTGCGTAGTAGTAATCTCCTATGCTCATTAAACTATTCCAAGCAATGAGAGATCCAAATCCAAGAATCCAACAAACAAGAATACCCACAAATTTCCCCTGAAAAATTTCATATACATTATAATTTTTGCCACAACAAATGAATCTTTCAATTTGACATAACAGAAAAAAATTTTAAAGTAAAAAAGTATGAAACAAACCTCAAGCTTGGTAGGACTTGGAATATCCATGGTTGTTTCTTTGTAGAATAAATTCAAACACAAAAAACTGTACAAGCCATCATATAAGTAGTAATTTTGATTTGCCTCTTTTTTTTAAAAGAAATTGATTTTTTTAAAAAAAAAATAATAATCAGATCCTCTTGACTTTTTTTTGTTCTTCGTAAATGTGATTTTATTGTGGATAACACAGTGTGAACACATTAAAACGTATGTAACGGTTCTATGAACCATTAGACTCTCCTGTTTTCTTATTATTTATCCCCTTAACTAATTACATGGTAAAAAAATTTAGTGTCACTAAAAAAGTATTAATTACATCATTTAAATGATTAAACAAACTTAGTTACTTTGCCAAGTTTAAGTTTTCCTCAAGCTAGTCTAGACTTAAAGCCTGTGTTGAAATTACTGCTAAAATCTGCTTATTTTTGGAAACACCTTTTAAATTAGTTTTTTAGAAAAGCGCTTTAAAAAATAATAATTTGTGTTTTTAAAAATTGCTTTGAAGTGTTAAATTACAAAACGGACAAGGATCAATCTACTTTCACTATAAAGATTATTTTATATATTAAAATTATTTTAAATATCTATCTATCATAAGAAATTTAATTTTATTGAATCAAAATGTACTTATTCAATTTTTCAATCAATACTATACATATATAAATAAATAAAATTATAATATTGATAGGATATTTAAATATAATAAATAGTATTAAATATGAAGTAATGATAATAAATGTAAAAGAATAAAATGAATATTATATAAAAATAAAATTCTTAAATGAATCTTTTACCAAAGTTATGAGATATATTAATTAATTAATAAGAGATTTATGGAAAAATATGCAAATATAGAAGAAATATTTTTGTTTTGTAAAAAATAATTTTTTGCTTTTGCTTTTTTTAAGAAGCATACATTTTAAACTTCTTTTCGACAACTGAAAAACTATTTCTGCATCTATTTATAAGCAATTTTGATTTGTCAAACACCTTATTTTTAAAAAAAAGTGATTTTCTTTCAAAATAATTGTTTTTGGTCTTCCAACTATAATGTCAAACAAGCTCTAAATCTATAATTTGGAGATAGTTACATGGGTCTAGTTAGGGATGGGCACGGTATAGTTTGATACTGTATTTGAAATTTTGATGCCATAATTTTGATATTCAAATTTTAAAACTATTATATCATCATATCAAATTATTTTGTCCAATATCGATTTCAGTATTTTGTGGTATGATAAATCGATAGTTTGTTTAACTTTGACTAGTATACTCATATAGTATAATAGAGTGTTATGACTTCAAAAATTCAGAAAAAGATCTCAATATATACTAATTACTAACACATCTAGAAATATATATTCAAAAGAAAGTACAAACAACTCTTTTTGTCAATCAAATAACATTTAAATACATTTCAATAAAATAGAATAGTCAAAGTTTTAACTTCTAAACATGTAATTTATATTCGATATTTCAATGTATTTCTAAATATCAAATATCGCATCAATACCGAAAAGACAAAAAGAGTTAAAATATAAGCCATATACCATACTAAATAACATAATACTAAAAATTACAATTTCAAAATTTTCAGTATGATAACTTGTCATCCCTAGATCTACCAGCAAAACATTCTCCCGACTCGGTCGTCCCGAGTTTACAATTGGGTAAATATACCATAAATCCTAAAAATTGATGAAATATCCTTTACTATTTGACCAAAACAGAAGTTTGGAAGTTCTCAATTTTAACGTCAAAGTCATAAAAGATTTCAACTTTGTCATTCCTTTTGTCTAAAAAAAAACGTATAACAAAATGCCACATATTTATTTGCTCAAAACTTACTTAGATTGAGACAGAACTTAAACAGAGCATCAAATGATCCTATTTGTGAAGCATGGAGTCTCAATTGCTAGGCACTAGGTCAAACAACGAGAATAAGACTTGTTATCAGCATATGCAAGGATAAAGGGAAGATGCTAGAGTGGATCAAGTATAGCATGTAAATTTTTTTAAAATAAAGCTCTGGATAGTAAAATATATAGCACACATGTTTACTTACTGTATCATGTAAAAATTCCTACGTATAAATGACCTGAGACGAGGAAGAACAGTAGAACCCACAAGAGTTCCATCAACAAAGAAGAGTTGTAAAAAAGAACACTAATCACTGAATTTAACCAGACGAGCTACCCAGCATACACTGAAGAAAATGAAGGAAAGATATTGCAAATTAGTAGTGAACATATTAGTGATTTCAATGTGTATGGTTTTCCGGAGTTAGGGACGTTTATTTACAACAGCAGCAGGTAAAAGCATAAACAAACAGTAATTACAGTCGAGAATCAGGCTGATAAGTCAATCCCAACATCTAAACCCCAATATCCAACAGCAATTTATATGATAATGTTTTGCATTTTTCAGCCAAAACCAAAGATCACTGCCACCACAAAAGTATTTATATCTCGTCTTGAACATCTCATACAGCAAAAGACAGCTTGTCAGGAGACGAGGCATCCTGTCCTGTAATTGATAAATTAACAGCATAAAAAGACATATTTCTACAAGATCATGCTTTAACATGCACCAAGATAGACTACAAATTCTTGCTTTTTTTAAATCCCGTAATAGACTTTGAAAATATTAAGTAAAAGTGTGGAACTTATTCTGTACGTTAGGTAAAATAAATCATAGAAAACAAAGAAAAGTACTCACCATAGTAATAGTTACAAAATGACATGAACAGCACAACAGGAATGAAGATACCTCCGATCCCCCAGGACACATCGATCATCTTATGGTGAGCTTTCTCAAAGTCAGAAAAATCTGTGGCGTCATCACAAATAGTCTTAGTTCTGGCAATAAAAGAGTCCATGTCCATGACAGGACCTTCACTGTTATCCACAACATTAGCTAGCCTTCCTTTCTTGCTTCGGTCAAATTCCATTAGATTTCTTGTTTCTTCTCTTAAATATTTATAACTTCGCATCAAATTCATGATGAGCACGTTCATTTTTGTAATTCTTGATTTTGCCATGCCAATGTGTATGAACGAATCAGCCAAAAATAAACACATCAATAGAATAGACATGGCAAAGGCCATAGCAGAAGGTATACTGGTGGTTAGGTAGATACTAATTCCTCCTGTCCATGCGAAAAGAAAGAGGGTATGCTGCTCTAGTTTAGATACAACCTCAAGTGCTTGTCGTTCCAAGTCCCAGTTCATTTGATTTAATGCATTCCTTCTCCGTTCCACATCTAACAACTTCACAACACTTGAACGCTAAGGGCGTGAAGGGACTATCAAATGAAAAAAAAAGAAAAAGAGAAAAAACAAACAAAAGAAGCAAGCAACTTTAGGGAACTAAATTTCGTATATCATAGACTAGAACTGAATATTTATTATTTGCATGTGTCTAAGTTAATATGTTTCTGACCTTCAATACAATCAATAGTTATATGTTCTGTTCCAGCCATGAGGAAACCAATATGTTGAAGACTTCCAATATCATCAATTTCTCTATGTCCTATTCCAGCGATAAGAAAAAATGCAAATTTGTTTAGTCAAAATAGTCAAACACAGGCAAACTATACAAGCCATATAGAGAAAGTTCCACCATAAGGAAAGAAATGTATGTTTCTATTAACTTTTCCAGCTTTACAGATGACTGTTTATTCTCTTTTTAAAATAAAAATAAAAGCGTATAACATTTAAGCAGTACTGGGGGTAAGGGGCTTATTCCAGAACTTGAGTAGATGAAGCTATCTACGAAGTCTGATGCGCACCCATGGGATTGGTGCTATGCAACTCACTATTAACATAGCTCTCTGAAACAATTTTCGAGTACTGATGTAATATTTCCATCTTTGGACTAAATTAAAGGGAAAAAGTACACAGAAGAATCTTGAATCTAACTCGCACACATCAATTGTTAAAATATTTAATTTATAACCTCAAAAGTCAGTACTGTTAGCTACCAAATAACTGTATATTTGCAACAAATAATAGCTGCAATGCTTTGGGTAAATTGGTATTATGAGCAACATTTGCTGAATTACCAAGAAGACACCCTCATTGACTTATTGAGCTTAATATGCCAAGTCTTTTGCTTATAACCTGGAGACTAAATTTTCAAAAGATAAACAGATAGCATATGTCATTAAACACTACGGTTGTCATGAATAGTAAGGGAGAGAACACAAGTAGAAACGCAGGACGAACTCCATATGTCAAATGCAAAGAAAATATATAATTTGCCGTGTCCTCATAAAACTGATACCACATAGTAGCTAACAGAAATAAGAGTCAAACACATGAAATTTTTCAACACTTAACACGAATAAAAAAACCCTGGATACAACAAGTGTTGTAAAAGACTCGTTTGAGGCACACTTAAGCCCTCAAGTTAGGTGCCAAATGCTTGTCCAAACTCAACTTCCAAGTTTCACAAACCACAACTTAGAAACTCGAATTTTTGAAGTTTCAACTTCAAATCTACGGCCAAAAATAGAGCAAAATATGAGTACCTCCAATTTTTTCATGAGGTCCTTCCGTCAGTTGCAACAAAATGCCTTATAAAGTTAAAAAAACAAACTTATAGATAATAACCCTAGTTTTCATGTAAGGTTCAACATACAGAAATAGAACTACTTAGAAAGACATGTATGCATATATCAACACAACAGAGTAACTGGTACTATGCAACATTATGCTATTGAAAGAGCTAATATGGAGCGTCATTACGTACCAACTCGGCGAGACACTCGAGCACCGCGGTAAGGGAGAGACGAGCTCGGACTAGGGTTTGCACTCTGCGCGCCAAGTTATTTTTGTACTAAATTTTGGACAAAATGGTAAAAATGTCCTTATGTTTGGGGTAGATTTAATAGTCCCTTGAGCATTTTTGGGTTCATATTTACGTCTTCTGAAAAATATTCATATTAATCCTCTATTGTATTTTTTGGTTAGTACAGTTATTGTAATTTCTACTTCTCTTTGAACGTATATAATGCAATTATTTTCTTTTTACAAAATTTTGTAGGTTCGCCTGCTTTTTAGAAATTCAATAGCTAATGTGCGAGTGACTTGTCATACTATTCGTCTGTAGGTGATTTTTTAAGATCGTCGTCAAATTTCGAGGCTCAATCGTGGACAGGTGGTGAAAACTATCAAGCTGGAGTATAATCGGGGCAAAGAAAATTCTGGTGAGGCGTTGAAATGCATAGAGATCAGAAAGAACACCAACGGTGAAAACATTCTATTGGGCGACACTTACACAGAGAGACAAAAGCTAGGGGAGCAAATGAGATTAGATACCCCAGTTTCCAAGTCGTAAACGATGGATACTAGGTGTTGTGCATATCGACCCATGCAATGTTATAGCTAACACGTTAAGTATTCCACCTCGGGAGTATATTCGCAAGAATGACATTCAAAGAATTGATGGGACCCGCACAAGCGGTGAATCATGTGGTTTAATTCGAAGCAAAGCAAAGAACCTTACAGGGCTTGTTATGTAATTAGCTACACTGGGACTGAGACACGGCACAGGCTCTTATGAGAGGCAGCAGTGAGAAATTTTTTACAATGTAGCAAAACTCTGACGGAGCAATATCTCGCGAAGGTAGAAGGCTCATGGGTCGTGAACTTCTTTTCCCAGAGAAGAAGCAATGTCGATATTTGGAGAATAAACATCGGCTAATTCTCTGCCAACAGCCGCGGTAATACAAGAGGATGCAAGCATTTATCCGAAACAATTGGGCATAAAGCATATGTAATACTGAAAAGATTATTTTTCGACTTAAAAAGTTGGATTAAGTTGTATAACTTCATTGCCGCGGAAAATTTACAAGTAATTTTTTCATTACATGACTGCCCAAAATCAGTACATCAAAACATGAATCACTCTTCTATCTGAATGGCAAACCAGAACTTGAACAATGGAAAGACTGAATGTACATCAGAATTCAGAACTTGAACAATATACCCTTTTTTGTCTTTCTATGTGAATTGAACTTTACATTCTTTGCAATCCAGAAATAAGTTAAATAATCACATACGTAGATTTCACAATTCATACTCCTAGAAGTTGAAAGTTGACATGAAAAAAAAGAAAAAAGAAAGCAAAACATTCACACAAAATGCATATTTGGAACCAGAACTATTATGTGTTCCCCAACTAAAATGACATGTTATCAAATGTCCTGTCGCATACAATCTTGAGTACTCAGAATTTTCCGTTACCAATAATCCACAACCAATCCAAAGCAACACCGGAAAATATACCAGCTAGTAGGAATAACACTAGCAAGTTACCCAATGCATTTGCCTCAGGACCCTACAAAATTCAAAGTTAAGTGTTAAAATATGATGTGATATTTCAGATGATTATAAACTGACAATTTGTATAGATTCAGAAATTAAAATTTCACAAACCTTGTATCCTTTAGGTGCAGCTGTCATGACACAAACAGTGAGGTAACCATTTGTGAGTCCCAAGAAGGATACGAGAAATATCATCCAGCCTTGATCACCATATTTTGCAGTGAAATAGAAGCAAGGGATAAACGAGAAACGAGAGAGGGTTGCAATGATGAGGCCCTTGCGTGATTGAAGCTCGATTTTCTTAATCAGTGGAACGTATCTTCCTATCAGATCCCAAACATTGTACATTGCTATCAGAACTAGAGGGTACCTGAGATTTAAGAAAAGAAGATATTATCAGTCATTCAACTAGTAGACCATGAAATTAACTTGACTCTGCACACGAACAAGATAATACAAAACAGCATGTCTTTTGAATTTTAATTTGGTGTTATGAACGATCGATCACATTCACATGGAGTTGGATAAAACCATCCAACCAAGACATCTTGAAAAAAAGAAATTCAAAAGGTAGTGCAGATAAAGTAACAGAAAAAAAGGAGTTATGCACACTTACCATGATCCCAATTGGTGAGTACCAGTGTTTTCATACAAGAATCCGGGGAAAATAGATAAAGTGAGGACATAAATCAAGTACAAGTTCAATTCATAATCAATGTTCTGGAGAAGCAATTGTTTGGTGGTCAGACGTTCTGATTGCTTAGCATCGTTGTTAGCCTGTTCAGTAAACAGAAACATATCAAATTTATGATCATGAATATCACTTATTAACATGTTTTAGTTGAGGAGAAAAAGTTGCCTACTTTTTCCATTGGTTGAATTCCAATGCCTGCAGCAGCCAAGTCAGCTGCAACAGTTGTTGATCCTTCTGCAGCTGCCTTTGAACGGTAGTGCTTCACAATTGGTAGCTTAGGGAATACGAATGAATATAGAAGGATGCATAGGAATTCAAAGAATGCGGAGATAGCAAGGAACAACACTGCGAAATCAACAATTGTAAGTTTCTGATTCGGAAAAACTCAAACTGTTTTTTATTTAACTTTCAATAATGAGATCAGAATTACTTACTAACTCCTTTGCGAAGGCCATTGTTACTGTTTTCAAAAGCTGCTTTGGTTATTAGCCTTAAACCAGAGGTAAGTGCACCAGATGCAGCAACACCACCAAAAAACGACTGCATAATTCATGAATCAGTACAAACATAATTCAAAGTTTCATATAGCAAACAAAATTAAAAATGTTACTGCTACGCACTTGCATAAACTCGGGGCACATGAAAGCTATATCTCCAACCATTCCACCTTGAACATGAGCATCTGCAACTCCAAAACATCCTACTATGAAACATATACCAATATAATTTCCTATCCCACCCCTACCGGAAGTTGCAAGATCCAACTGAAAATAAGTACAAAAACAACGGATTTTAAAATGGTGAACAAAAAATAAAACCACTAGAACTTGACAAAAGCATAACATACCACTATAAGTGCGACTGTACTTAAGGTAAACAGTACATATCCAGCTAAGTTACGCTTTCTTGTATCAACTTTTGCCTCATTATACGCAAGAATTGCCATTGTTCCAAGTGCAAATGGCTGATACACTAGTGTGAGTACCCTTGAAGGATGATAATCCTTCAATTTCCATACCAAATTAAACAAGTCAGCACACACAACTACGCCTCAATCCCAATCACAGTAATAAAATTGTAAACTAAAAAATACATTAAAAGTTGTCAAGGAAAACTTACTGGAAACAACGCATAATAGTAATCTCCTATGCTCAATAAACTGTTCCAAGAAACAAGTGACCCAAATCCCAAAATCCAACAAACAAAAATACCCATAAATTTCCCCTGAAAAATTTCACCATACATCATAATTTCAGCCACAACAAAAATTTTCAATTTATCATAACAGAACAAAATAACAAAGTTTGAAACAAACCTCAAGCCTTGTAGGACTTGGCCTTCTACTTGAAATAGCATTAGCCATGGCTGCTTCTTTGTAACTGCACTACAGTATCATATACAATATTTAATCTTAACATGAAAAACAAATCATAAAACAGAAATCAGATTTATAAAGAGCCAATTATGACAAAGAAATTCAATTGACTGAATTAAAAGTGGATCTTATATAGATGAACATTACCTACATTGAAACAATAAATCTATTAAAGAGGCCTGACCTTGTCAAGTGACAAATAAAGGTATGTATGGAGTCTCTGTTGACTGCAAAAGTGTAAAAAGATGTGAATAGAAGATTCACTCTGAGACTCTTTAGGATTCTTCCATATATATAATATACATGAATTTATTGGAATCTCTACAGGTCAAAAAGTGAATAGAGACGACATTACAAGGTGACAAAATAAATACCTTTATCAACGAAAGCTCAGTAGTCAATTAACTGATAAATAACATTAGTATGTCAGGAGCCTTACAACTGGCTTGTTGGTTGAGGAGTTTGATTGGTATTTAGGCATAATTCATGGAATAATAGTCGGAATAATGAATTAAACTTTGTCTTGCTATTTAAAAAAAAAAAAAAGTAAATGTTAGTTATGATTAACCCTCCACTTATGGAAAATCACTTAATTATGTTTAAATATTTAAAGATAAGGAAGAGGTTGTGTACTACAAAGTCAATATGTAATTTGTTTAGGGGGTCTTAATTAGAAAAAAGAAAAAGAAAAAAATTTAATTGTTTGGGGATTAAGTAAAGGAAAACGCATAGTGGGAATACAATTTACTAGACTGTGAACTTGGATTATAAAATAAATAAATGAAGATATGTAGTCTGAATATAACACATATTAATATAGCCGACTTCAAAAAGGAATAAAATTATGATATATGTTAAGAATCGTTTTTATGCGTAATCTGGATCAATAAAAATAATAATATTTATGCATTTAATTTCAGATTTTAAACATTAAATATAAATTGATAAATATATATTTTTACCATATATATTAATTAGTTATTTATAAATGCTCTATATAAATGACAAATGAGTAATTTTAAAGCGAAAGGGCGGATACTTTTAAAAAAAGGACAAAAAAATCGAATTCATATACAAAGTCTTTCATATATTTCTGGCTTTATTATACAATATATATGTTATACTAATATAAATAAAATATAGTAACAAAATGTGCATCGGAAAGAGAAACCAAGTAGAAGAAGCAAGGCAGAAAATATGGTTCATTTATTTTTATATTATTATTACCCTTTAGGTCTATATAAGATAAATGTCATTTTAACGTAATGATTCATAATCACATCAGGAGAAATAAAGGTGAATTCATAGTGAAATTTTTTATTTGAAAGATCATTTGTTTAATTAATTTTATGCCTGATTTAATTGGATGTTTGTATATTGTATTTTAAATACCATTATTATTTAATTTTTATTTTACCCAATAGAAGCATGGGCTATGGAACACTTAACTTTTGACTTGATTGGCTCCATCCATGATGAATTGTCAAATTTGTATTATTTTGGCTTATTATTCTATTGCCTTCTTATGGAAGAGTTGGGAACCCATTGTTTTCCTTCCAATTGGTTCCTACTCTCATTAAAAGAGTAAGTATCTTGCTATCAAATTATATAAATAAGATGATAATGTATATTAATTAACCAAAACTAAATATTTTGTATTTTTTAGAATTCAATTTAGTTAATTTTTAAAATGAAATTAAATTACATTAATTTAATTTTTTTTAAAAAATAAATATTCAAAAATTATACAAAAAGTAGAATAAATATAATTTTTTATATGTCAGTATAATAAAAAATACTTCGTAAAATATTGTTCAAAATTCATATAATTTGACTCTAAAATAAAAAAAATCATTACTTGTTAACTTGATCTACGAAAAATAGAAAAGTAATCTGCATAGTCAACAAGCAATATTCAATTCCTTTATATATCATGGATCTACTCTTAATAGAGTTTTCCTTTATTTAGGCAGATTCATGATAAATTTAAGTTATGCTGAAAATATATTTATTTCTAAAAAGGATTGAGTGCTTATTGTCAAATGTTTGGCAATTAATTTCATGTGATGGTCTCACGTTTTTCACATGTTGTGATATTAACTAATTAGCACATGGTTTCACATGTAATTTCATATTAGTTTTGTTTTATATTTTAAAAGTATCGATACTACAAAAGAATTCTCATAGAGAAAAATGAATAAAGTCATATTAGCAAGTGGATTTCATATCATACGAGTAGAATATACTTATATAATAAATCGATTTAACTATAAATTAACTAAAAAATGATTTGTGGTTCAACTTTTTTTGAAGCTATTTTTTTCTAAAATGAAATTCTTCGCAGTCTCAATTATGAAATATCTACGTTTATAATATTTTGGGAAAATAAAATAGAATTTACTGCTGCGAAAAAAATGAAAATATCGCAAGAATGTCACCAAATTGAAATTGGGGGAATTAGCTGGCTGTCAAATTAATCCATATCTTTGGTGCGAGTCTCTTTAAAGAGTTTGATATATTAATTAATTTTCTAAATAAAGATGTCAAAAATTATGATAAGCTTAGATCCATAATCCTTTTGCTTGGCTTAATTAGTTAAATAATAATTTATTGACATGATAATATTGTATGTCATCGTCAACTCTCCAGCGGATAAGATTGTTCCTCCCTTAATAAGGGGTTTCGAGTTCAAATCCTGAATGTGAGAAAATTCTTGACAAAGAATATACCCCCTAAATAAGGCTCTACATAACGTGAATCTAAAATAATAGACTCCGATAAAATCAAGAAATCTAGTCTAGTACACGTCATATGGTATTTGGTTTGCAAAAAGTATACGATCAACTTGTAGAAAAATATAAGTACAATAAGTCCCACAAATCTGCTAAGTTCCTGCTATTTAAATGATGATGGTGTGAGGACACCGAACAACTTGTCCACACAAATACAACGAGTTGTCAACGACTATTGCAATGATGTTGTTTTCAAGTGGTGATAAACTAAATTAAATTTTATGAGTTATAAATTTTAAAATAATGATTGGGAAGTGTTTATATTTAAATTTTAAATTTGATAAATATATATATATTTAATAATTTTTTTAATATAAATAAAATATTTAAAAAATTGATAAATCATCATAAAAAATATTTTCGATTTGTGTTGTCCAAGTCTCAAAAGGTGTGTATGATCAAACAACTAACGTCATGCTAAGTCAAATATTGCAATTACCTCTCCTCTTGTCTTTACTTCACCAAGTTAGTGTTTACACTGTTGTAAGTGTTGGGTTATGGGCTTTTTTCCCTTTCTATGTGGATAAATAAAGGGAAAATTTCATATATGGCAAACTTATTAGATTAAATAACATTATATGGGTATAGTTTACCTAATTAGATAATATGAGTATAGTTAAGTTATTAAAGGTGTCTTTAATTTTGTATATAATTTTTTTTATTATTATTTATACAATTCTATTTTAAAAAGTTGTTTGTAACTGAAGCATTAAATATGGTAACAATAAATCAAGATAATGCCACAATTTTAGGAAAACGTCCCTATTTTCAAGCCATACGTTCAAATTCAAAAAAAAAATCTGTTTATAATAAGTCATGTACAAATTAATTTCTGTATATACATACCTACCTATATATACAAAAAAAATCAAAAAAAAAAGTCATCCACAGATTATTTTCTGTTTATATATATGAACTTACCTTTTTTGTATATGGTATATACCAGCACGTATTCAATGTCTTTTATTGTATATGCACATCCAATTAGATTGCAATAAATATACATATACAATCTTATTGAATAAATATATACATGTACAAAAATGCATTTTACAAATTTGTATAACAAGAGATATATGTTATTCAGGTTTTTAATTGTATATAGTATATACTAACACTTATTCAATGTTTTTATTAATTGTATATGCATATTCAATACATTATATTCGATAATTTATATATAACTATTACAATATACAAAATTATAATCACATATGATATTTTCCCATCTATATACAATCCCTACTACCAGCTATTAAAACAGACATGTACATATCAATTTTTGTATATGTATGTAAACTTAATATATACTAACTTCAAAAATTTGTATATAACTAATAGAATATACAAATTCTAATCATATATTCAATTTTTCCATCTGTATAACTAAGTCCAATTACTATTTTGTATATATATACAAAAACCAAAAATAACATAAATATGCAATATACTATATACAATTACTCACATGGAATATACTATATACAATACTTAATTTAATGGTTTTTGTATATTGACAACTAATTAACAAAAAAATTGTATCTAAATTTGTGTTTTAAGACACTACCTCATGATTATGAAGTGCTTCAGATCCGACTTCACAATCATTTTCCTCTGATTCAAATAGTACAACTTTCCTCTTTCTTATACCTTGTACAATTTTAATGCCTCTAGCTTTGACATTTTTAATAACTTAATAACTTATTGAACTGCCATAGGGTCGTTTTTTTTCTTTGATCTCAGCTCTTCCATGGTTTGTTCTTGTATAAGTTGTTTTGATTTTCCCAAATACCCTACATTAACCCCAAATTCTTGAGTTAGCCCCATTGAAAAGGATGGTAAAATGTCAACAACATTGACATGCAAATGACTACCTCTGGTAATCCTCAAAGATGTAGACGATTCGTTCATTGTTTGACGAATTTTAGATCTATCAAGAATAAAAAAACGATTATTTCATCAAAATATATGAAGAAAAAAAAACAGAACACATACAATTTTTAGATAAGTTAGAAAAAAAGGTAAACAACTAAAATTAAGAATAACTTACGAAATTGACTTCAACTTAGGGAGGAGACTTCAACTTCAGGAGGGATTACTGAAATTTTGGACAAAAATTTGAAATTCAAATATGATATTGGAGTATTAAATGTAGGAGAAGATGTTAGAATAAGGAAAGGAGAGAGAAAATTAATTGTGAATAAGAGAGAGAAAATTAGATTGTGTATAATTATATACAAAATTAGAAAATAAGATTTTTATACAATTGGTTACATAATAGGTTGTGGGCCCCCATTAATTATAGCAAAATAAAATAAACTATAATTATATAATGTAAATAAATTAAACTATACCCCTAATATATAATTAGTTATGAATGTTTGCCATTTCATATAATTTTCCCAGCCCAATTTGGACCAATCCATTTTTTGTCCATAGGCCCATTCTTATGAGGCAAATATAAGCCTATTTAGGTCTTATTTTCATATACACAGAGAGTTTTTTCAGCAGCCAGAAAGAGAGAAAGAGAGCAGTTTTCGCAGTCAAAATTCAGCCGTAACAGCCAACTTCAAATTGCGATTCCTGCTTCGTTTCTTGTCCGATTGAGCTGATTTTTGGACAGCATATTATCTTCATATCAATCTTTGATTAGGTTCTGACAGAGTTGGATTTGGTGGCCTACATCTTCAGTTTTGCTATCATGAACAGTAGATGCGACATTGGTTCAAATCAAGAAGGAAAAGTATAGACTTGGGTATTTTTTCGTTGTTATCTTGT